TATAAGCTCGTAAACTTATTTTACATTCTACTTACCATTTTTCTATAAGCTCTTAAGCCTATTTTCCAATATAATTACAATTTTTCCATAAGCTCGTAAGCTTATTTTACAATATACTTACCATTTTCCATAAGCTTGTAAGCTTATTTTACCAATATAATTACCATTATTTCATAAGCTCGTAAGCTTATTTTACCAATATACTCATCATTATTTCATAAGCTCTTAAGCTTATTTTACCAATATACTTACCATTTTTCCATAAGCTCTTAAGCTTATTTTACCAATATACTTACCATTTTTCCATAAGCTCTTAAGCTTATTTTACAATCTACTTACCATTTTTCCATAAGCTCGTAAGCTTATTTTACAATCTACTTACTATTTTTCTATAAGCTCTTAAGCTTATTTTACAATCTACTTACCATTTTTCCATAAGCTCGTAAGCTTATTTTACAATCTACTTACTATTTTTCTATAAGCTCGTAAGCTTATTTTATAATATACTTACCATTTTTCCATAAGCTCTTAAGCTTATTTTACAATCTACTTACTATTTTTCTATAAGCTCGTAAGCTTATTTTACAATATACTTACCATTTTTCCATAAGCTCTTAAGCTTATTTTACAATCTACTTACTATTTTTCTATAAGCTCGTAAGCTTATTTTACAATATATTTACCATTATTTCATAAGCTCGTAAGCTTATTTTACCAATATATTCATTATTATTCCATAAGCTCGTAAGCTTATTTTACCAATATAGTCATCATTATTCCATAAGCTCGTAAGCTTATTTTACCATTATATTCATCATTATTCCATAAGCTCATAAGCTTATTTTACCAATCTACTCCCCACTATTTCATAAGCTCGTAAGCTTATTTTACAATTATATTCATCATTATTCCATAAGCTCGTAAGTTTATTTTACCAATCTACTCCCCATTATTTCATAAGCTCGTAAGCTTATTTTACAATATACTTATCATTTTTCCATAAGCTAGTAAGCTTATTTTACCAATATGCATACCATTATTCTATAAGCTCGTAAGATTATTTTACCAATATACTTATCATTATTGCATCACTAATGCCATTAACCTCTTTTATTAATCATTATTGGAATCCATACATTCTATAGGAAATTCATATCATTCATATAATTTCCTCATAATATTAGCACTCTCAGTGCTCTATTTGAATTATCATATACTCAATATGATTTCCTTCTCATTTTAGCACACAAAGTGCCCTATTCAAGAATTCATACCATTTGTATGATTCTTTTACCATTTTTAGCACATATAATGCCCTATATGGAAATCCATATATTCAATATGATTTCCTTAACATTTTAGCACACTTAGTGCTCCACATGGAAATACATACATTTAGTATGATCCCCTTATCATTTTAGCACACATAATGCCCTATTTTGAAATCCATATATTCAATATGATTTCCTTAACGTTTTAGCACAATTAGTGCTCCATATGGAAATACATACACTTAGTATGATCCCCTTACTATTTTAGCACATATAATGCCCTATTTGGAAATCCATATATTCAATATGATTTCCTTAACGTTTTAGCACAATTAGTGCTCCATATGGAAATACATACACTTAGTATGATCCCCTTACCATTTTAGCACATATAATGCCCTATTTGGAAATCCATATATTCAATATGATTTCCTTAACGTTTTAGCACACTTAGTGCTCCATATGGAAATCCATACACTTAGTATGATTCCCTTACCATTTTAGCACATATAATGCCCTATGTGGAAATCCATATATTCAATATGATTTCCTTAACATTTTAGCATACTTAGTGCTCCATATGGAAATCCATACACTTAGTATGATTTCTTATCATTTTAGCACATTCAGTGCTCCATATGGAAATCCATACACTTAGTATGATTTCCTTATCATTTTTGCACATATAGTGCCATTTGGTAATCACAATACATACATTAATAAATCATGTTATTTTAACCATTACCACGTGTACGTGCATAATTAAATGCACTAACCTGGTTCGCCTTGTTTATAAATCCTGATTAGCAAGATGACTATTCTTTAACTTGACCCTTGCATTTCGCCTTACTCGATCGGGAGCTTGATTTCGATATTTGAGCTAAATGGAAGAGCTCACCCACGGCAAGAAGAGGAAGAGGAGAAGAGAAGAGTTGACTTCCTCTTTCCCCCACTCATCCTCTTATCTCCTTATTTAATTACTCAATACCCTTTAATTGAATTCTAAATTCAATTTTAATCCCAATGACCAAAATATCCTTTTAATCATCATTTCTCACAATTTAGTCTAAATCATGAATCCTTTTCATCCTCATCTTTCATTATTTAATTTAATAAATCCTCTTATTTTAAATTATTTCAATTTAATCCTTAATTAAATTTTTGGGGCATTACAGACTTTCTTGTTGTGTTGAAAGGACAGAGAAAGACTACCAAATTTTATGTTCTACAGGGTTCAACAGTTTTAGATAATGCAGTTGGTGTTTTATCCACCGTGTCAAATAACGTTGTTGAACAAAATAACCGTGGGTAGAACGGCTATGTGAAGCAGAAAAGAGTTCAATTTCGTGAACATAATGAATTTAAAGATAGAACTATCATTGATGATCGGGATCATGTTGTGTATGATATTCTCGTGGTGAAATATTTGTGAACAAAGTTGGCACTTATGATAACCATGTCGATGTGAAGACTAAATCCAAGCCTAGAAAAAGATTGGATTCGATCGGTGTCCATTACTGAAGATTACCCCTTTTAGGGGTGTTGTGGAAGAGGTGGAGAACTTGTTCGTTGAAGTGAAGAATTGTTTTTGTTGAGTTTAGGTGTCACATCGAATTTGAGTGTTTTGTCTTGAAACCTTTGCACTTTCATAATTCGTGTCAAGGTGTAGATTTGTTAGAGTTTGACTCGAATTCAAAGTGACACAAATTAATTAATATATAAATATGGAGAAAGTAGGAAACACAGTTTGATTAAAAGTAAAAAAAACTTTATTAAAGCAGATTTATACTTTATTTAGTTTTCCTTTGTAATCAAGTAGTTATCCCTATAAATAGATACTAAGTGTCAGAGATAAAAATCAAGTTTTTTTCACCAAAATCATCTTGTATTTTCTTCCTTCATATTAGTTCTCCTCTACCTGTGATTTTTCTCTTTTGGGTTTTCCACGTAAATCTTGGTGTTCTTTGTTTTTCCCTTTCGATCATGTTTATTTATTTGACGATAATCATCATTCTGATATTATAACAAAAACTAATAATGTCGGGGTGATCCTCCTACACCAGGACGTGGGACCCGAGGACATCTGATATCAAGCATTGGATAAGTGAATGATTATGATTTATCTGCAAAGTATAGGTATAAACATAGACATGTCAAACTTAATCTGAATTCGGTCATCTAAATTTATGTTATGGTTTTGAATGTGATAATATAAATTTGACCCGAAATATAAAATAAATTTAATCAAATCAAAATTAATTTAAAATTTTGATTGATCGATATGAACTCAAACTGAAAATAACCCAAACTTAAAACAATCAAAATTTAATGTCCAAATCCATAATATATTTATGAACCGTAAGAATAGACACGAATATATGAGCAATAACAAGCATGGATCATTATTATATAAGTATAACATGCATCAATACTACTATGAACATCTCACAATACAACATAACAATAATTAGATCATATGGTTTGGACCACACAACATTAGACCAATGATCAATTTAATGCTTAAACCACACAATACTAGACATTAAAACATCTGGAGTCTGAATCACGTATCATCACACAATAGTTAATATTAATATCATAACAGCTAATATCGATCAAGGATAAAATTAAAGTAATTAAAAAATACAAAATAATTATATAGTTAAATCTATTATATAAATAAAATTACCTCGTGAATTAAAAATAATAGTAAAAAATGTTAATCATTATGTAATAAATTTGTATAGTGATGGGGATAAATTTATTATTTATCGATATTGATGCAATCGCGCTCTTTCTCTAATGTCGCAGAACATTCGGAGTTGGCCTTTTGATATTACACAATATTCATAATCATCCTAAAATTCACATAAAATCTCATTATTGTTAATAAAAATTATCCACATTGTATCTCTTTCTTAAATATTTAAACTTTTTCAGTTAATATCATGTGTAGCGTTATTATTTTGAGTGTCTCAATCATAATAATCGTTAAAAAATTAATTATTAATATATGTCGTGTTTATTAAAAAAACTAAAATTATTATTATTAAAACCCTTAAAAACTTTTAAAATCTAAAAAAAACTAAAATCCTTAAAATACCTAATTTTAATCCCCTTTACTCATGTCGTCGGCCATCTTCGGTCATCCATCTGTAGTCGTATAGTCACTCATCTATTTTCATCCCTTACTAACCAGCCATCACCCTTATCGTCGTCTCAAACCCCTAAAATTTTAAATCCCTAAAATCTCAAATAATCAATCCCTAAATCATAATCAATAATCACCGGTCGTCGACAAACCTCCACATTCATTTAAATTATCAAATAAAAAGTATTAGAAAAATTTAAATTACAAAAAACTTAAAATTTTTAAGAAACAACTGTTTCTATCAATCTCGTGAGTCGATCCCAGAGCATACCAATAAAAAGTATTAGAAAAAATTAAATTACATAAAAATTTAAATTTTTTAAGAGATAATTGTTTTTATCAACCTTGTGAGTCGATCCCGGAGCATACCAACAATGTTCAGCCAAGAAGACCAAAAAATAATTTGCATTCACATTCAAGCATAAGCATATAATAGCATGCTTAAGAGCAAGATCCAAATTTGAATTGACATTTCCAACATTTAAAAGGTACACAATCAAAAGTACAAACAAAATAGCCAATTGAAAATTAAAAAAAAAGGATAAAATATGGGCAAATTTATTTTACTTTTTAAAAGGTTAAGAATTCTCATCTTCATCAGCTTTTACCATTCTACTAAGAGGACTAGGACCAAGCATCTTCCTTCTCATCAAACTTCTCTTCCTTATAATTTCCATTTGATTCCTCCTCCTAACTTGCATCATTGCTTCTTCTTCCACAGCAAACCTCCTCATCAAAACATCATCCGTCAACGATTTTCCACGGAAAACTCTTCTTCCTTCTGTGCTAAGTTTCACGCTAGGCATTACTCTTTCTTGCGCTAGGGGAAACGGCTTTGACCTAGGGTAACTGTTGCTTCTTCTAGGGGGGACATCGGCGCGAAAAACCTCATTGTAGGAAGAGATTGGTGCACATAGACAAACCCGACTAAACGTAGTGGCAACCCTCAGGGAAGTACATTTACGTAGCTTCTCCGATCTATTAGGATGAGTTGAAGGGATTTCAGCGGGCTTGGGAATCGCTTTCCACAATGTTGCATTCGCCATGGTAATTTCCGTTGGTCTTGAAATGGTTTTCCACAATGTTGTAGCATTCGTAGTAGGGACTCCTGTGGTCTTCGGAACAGTTTTCCATACGGTAGCCCTCTCTATTGCTCTTTGATACCAAGGCTTCCTGTGGAACAACAAACAAATACATAGCATGAAATCTTGAACAAGATTCTATGAGAATACGAAGACCCTCTAAACACATGAAAAAGAACTTCGAAAAATTGAACATATCCGTGTCAGAACCTACCTTTGTCCCGCACTCGTACTCAAATCCAAGAACAGAAATTAAAATTAATCCCAATATTTGAGCTAACAGTCAAACTATCAACAGTTTCTTAGGGTTCACAGGTATCATAATCATCATATGTATGTAGGGACAGAATTAGGAGAATAACACATTAAAGTTAACTGAACAAGGCACACCCTTTAGTGAAACTGCAGACCAAGTTCGAACCTTAACATTTACAACATTCTAATATTTCCAAATTGCAAAACAAATTGAACAGGAAACCAATGATGATGATATCAATAAATAACCTTAGCAATGGTCTTTGGGAGATCAATTGCATATTTTTGGATCAGGGTTTCTGCGTATTTAAGCTCAGTTCACATATGTGCTTGACAAATAAACAATAGCCCGTGGAGAGGATCGAACTGGGAATGCACCTAGGGGTGCGGTCACTCCTGGAAATTTCAAATTCACCTACAATTTAGGTATTTTTTATATTTTCCATACGAAATAAAGCTGTCAAGACTGATGTTATCGCTAAAAAATCAAAAGAAAAATAGCTAGAGTTATAATAATTTATATTTAATTATAAAATACGTGAATGCTTAATAAATATTTGCAATCTAATGATAAGCTAAGGGACGGCAAAGAGCAATTATGTTTACAGACTATAAAGATGAATAAATCATGATTAACCTTTCCATGGCAATCTTTTACGGAATACTTAAGTTAAAATACATCACTCTTCATGCATTTACAATTTAATCCTTTCATTTTTTATTTTTTTCAAACACTTCCTTTAATTTTTCAGATTTAAAGATCCAATCTAATTATTAAAACTGAATTTTCTTTTTTGAATTTGTTGATGTGATATTTTAAAATAAAAATACCAGCTCAGCATTCATTTAACAGAAAATGTAGTATATATGAATTTAACAATTAAATCCAAAAAAAAATAGAGGAATACAATTTTGAAAACAAAAGTAAAGGGATCAAATTCTAAATGTATGAAGGGTATAGGGATTTAAAATATATTTTAATCAATTATTTATTATTTAACCTCTGTAATATCGTTAAAGTATGAGCCCTACCTAAAACTAGATGAATTTTATATGCCTAAAAGCTAAAATCCACCAAAATGGCGGGCTTTGTTTTGGCAGCTAGTACAATTTATATATTATATTATATATTTATCGATGATTGATTGCCCTAATTTTATAAAAGAAAATATTAATAGATCATAGATTTAAATATAAGCGTTTACAAATTAAACAAATTGCATTCGGTATATCACTCTTAAAATAAACTTATATAACATCTAATCTGAATTAATAAATCAATAGATTAAATATAAATAATTAATTAAAAAAATGTTAGAACGTGGGTGGTGTAATATGACAAACTCCAAAAGCTGCTGCGGAAAGAGACATAATGATTGGGGGTGTTGGGTTAACTTCACATTGCCTCTCTCCATATTAAATAATAGTACTTGCTTATAAAACTTCACTAACAACTGCATTGTTTTTTAGGTTTAAGGATTTTTTTTTGTGCTCAATGAAAAATAAAATAAAAATATATGAATCAAGTGGTCTCCGTGGTAAACGAATTATTATTATTCCTTTTGGACCTGGGTTTAAGGACCTTAAGGGTGTGAGCATTCAATGTTGAAAGGTTGAAAATTATCTTTGAACATATAATGTATTGTACTTACCTCAGATTAATAAGAAAAAATAGAATTCAATTTAATCAATATAATTTTTTCCACATCAAATTAAACAACTGAAAATTTTAATTAATCAATTTACTTCATTAACTTTAATCACATTAACTCTAACAAAAAAGGGGGGAAATCGAACGTACTTGTATTAGACACATACTCGTATCCGACACTCCCACCCTAATCTAAGTAACATAGATGATCATAGCCAAAATTTGAGGCTTACATTGCTTTTCCACTATGATAAGTTGTTGAACTCATTTGAGATGGAGGGGTAGCTTTCTGTGCCAACAAATTATGATCATGGAGCTGTAGGTTAGTTTTTTGGCCCCATGAAAACTGTTGTTTGATGCCAGTTTATCAGAAACTACAACATAGTGGCTCCCAAAAAATCGAAGGAGTTCCAGTTATGGTGCCTACTGAGTGCCTCTGTGCTTTGATTTGTTAGCAATATAGAGGCTGCTAAACTTAGTGGACCATCAGAAATGAAGTCATTGGCTATTATCAGGCTCACCTGCAGGTTTCCTGCTCCAACCGACGGAGCCGGCTTTACGTTCCCCTCGCTTTCTTTTACTCTTAGGGAAACAGATGTCTGAAGCTAGACATGATCTCAGAATTGATTGCTCCTGAGACACAACGTTTTTTGTTGCGTTTTTAGGCTCTGATGTTGCAATACGAGAAGGGTTGGAGCTCTCTCCTTCTTCTACTTTCTCCGTTTGATGATGTTGCTTCATAGATTGACTGTTTATTGCCATTAAAGCTTGTTTATCTCCGCCATTTCCTTCATTCTGTATCGGAACATTTTCCACAATCTGCAAATGCCATCAGGTATCATAATGAACAGATTCTCATTTACCATAACTAAATCGAGAGTATTTCATGCATGAGAAGCCGAAAAAAATGTCAAACTCAAACAGATAACAGTCTTTTCTTGTGCAAAGGAGGTTGAAGCCTGCGGATAGCAGAGGAAATAACCGATGCTGTGATACGAGACCCAGACTTGCTAGATTGTTTTCGTTTTTCAGTGTTTTAACCTATGCCTCCGGAAATCTTTGCAATGAATTATCATATATCTAGGGGAAAGAAAATGCAGATCAGTTAAGCTTACTTTCAGTTCAAAATAAAAATCGATGGCGTTATCTTATCTGGTAAACATCAGCCAAATACACATGTAGTTCTGTATGTTCAAAGGGCTTACATCTTCGCACGAGTCTACAAGTGGTGGCTGGTGGCAGGTACCAGGTAACTTCAGCAGACGACAAAAATCCAACAGTGCTTTCGATTATATCAGGAACATGGAAAGCCTCTTCATAACTTGAAATGGCACTTGCAGGCATAACCATATCTCCAGCATATTCGCAAATTTGTTGAGTTGTGTTAAATGCAGGTCTGGCAGATATTGTGTCTCCGTTGCCAGCTGACAACGTAGGGCTAGGGGCGGAGCTGGTTTGAGCATCACAAGCAGCAAGGAAGCTTAAGTTCTCAGAGGAAGAAAACTTCGAGACATTTTTTGACATAACTTGATCGAGTTGATTCCTGAGTTTCTGAACCTTAGCATGCACAATTTCAATCTTCCTAAGTACTTGCTCCAAGGAATTATTTTCATCTCTGAACTCGAAAAGCAATTGATCGTTATTAATGTCGGATTTATCATTGCAATCTGTATGTTGGTCCGTATCAGCTGCACCAAGCAATGACAAAGATCACTTCACAATCAAACCAAGAGAAACCGAAATCTACAAAAACGTAGCCTTGACAGTTAACATATGATAATGATTTTCAGTGTCATCCTAGGATCCAGAGGACTAGGTTTTTGCAAAATGAATAGTTATGAATGAAGTTAAAATATAGGAGATCGATTCAGGGAAAGGGAAAATGATATTACCTGTTGGGAAAATCGTCGGCAATATAAGCACCAACTGCAATGGTTTTCCTGTTTTCTGAAATATATTACAAGCAAACCACACTTGAGCATCAGGGTTAAGGCCAGACAAGAAAAACACTTAAAAAATAACGATAAAGAATAAAGGAAAAGCTCGTATCAAAATACGAAAATGAGTTATGACATGACATGTATGAGGCTATATCGGTTGCTTCTTCAATTCTCTTTCTTCTCCTCTGCTTGATGGCCTTTTTACGGTTATACTGACTAGAAAATGGCAATGATTTTGAACCAAAACCTTCCAGTGCAGATTGATCAATTCCAGGAAACTTTCTCTTATTGTATGCTGAAAGTTCTCTGGTGTATTTTCCTGCTTGAGACTCGATTTGTTTGATTCTCAGTTCTGCCCATTTGCAGCGCCACATGAGAGGCCGAATGAAGTTCCTCCAATGGCTTGTCAGCCTCTTCTTCCTGAAGGGCAAGTACGAAATAAGATTACGACATGTCTGCTTGCTATGCAAAGTGAAATTGATTTGAATCACGTAATGTTTCAATGAATAAAGATTTGGATGGAACAAATCAAAAACTGAAGAATTTACCACAGGAAACCTTTAGTTGTAGCCAAATATTGACTGTATACACATACATAAATACATGCATATCCAAATTATTGAAATGCTCAAATATATATATAAGGATTAAAAGGTCGTAAATATGGAAAGAAAGCAAACCTTATATGAAACACACTACTAAATGGTTCGTAAGCAGATGCAAAAGCAGCATCACCAACGAACTGAGATTCGACTTCAGCATCACTCAATCCAGAACATTTATCGGTATCAGATGCGGTGTCAGCAAATGAGCTGGAACATTCAGTTGCATCCGGATCCTCAATTTTAACTGTTGTAGTGTCATTATTATTTGTGCATCCTATTATATCAACCTCGACATCCTCGGGAGCCTTATTTTGTTTATGCCTCACAACCTCCATGTTATCAATGCTCTCTTTGCACTTATTCATCCACCTTAAACAAAGCTATCCAAGGGAACCGTCTTCTCCTTGTCAGCTGCAGCTTTTGCAGCACAATGTAGTTTATTACCTGGATTAACATCCATCAGTATCCGTTCAGAAGCCATACAACAGTCATAGTACCAAAAAGCAATGCACCAAAGACGATGGCTCCATGGTTCACCTTCATGCTGATTAAAAACCAGCTTATATTAAATTTCAAAAACTCAAATCTTCCAAAATCAAATGTGCGCGTGAACTAAAAGATAAACACAGCTAGATTATTAGCTAATTCGGTAATTAAACAAGGCGGGAATAGCACAAATGATTTTGATCAAAGGAGGTAAATGAAAAGAAGAAGAAAAAAGAAATGAAATTAGAGAATTCCCCCACAGGAAGTTAGAACTATAAGACAATGCAGAAGCCATTAAATGTATACCATCATTAATTTCATATGACCATGTAAGATGAAAGAAATCAGTGATTATGCAGATACATAAGGCAAATTGTATAAACGCTACCATATTTGAAGCCTGGAATCCAACTATCATAAAAAATGCATTTCTATTATTGAATTTTGAATTTGAAACAAGACATCAGAAAGAGTTTGTTGAACAAATATTCCAAATTTTAGTAACAGCTGACTAAGTTCTTCAATTATCAGAACCATTCCAGACATTGCAGTGTTTGTTAGCTCAATTGAATTTTGAATTAAATACAATACAAGATAACAAATAGGAACAAATTTAAGAATTTGGTGACTAATTTGCCCAAAAAAAAAAAGAACGAAATGGAAGAAACTTATTTTGCAGAAACTGGAGGGAGAGGGGGCAATAGAGCAGTAAAGCAGCATCTCAAAAGAAAAAGCTAACAATGTGAAAAATTCAAAGAAATTCCCCACCTTCCTCAAATTTGTAATTCAGATATCATCATGCAAGTAAAGCTCATGTCAACATGCATGCATGCGTCATGACATTCATATTCACAATCACATACATGATACATCCTCCCACATACATGAGAAGTAAGAAATGATCATAAAAGTAGAAATAGCAAAAGAAATATATTCCAAGCTATACTCAAACAACCCATTAAGCTAAACAAGAAACTAAAGAAACAAAAACCCAGAAGGAAACAAAAACAAAATAAGGCAAAAAAAAACTTTCCTTCTCCTGAAAACAGTACCCATCACATATTATGTTGGTATATACGTATAAAAGTACGTATAAAGAAGTGCATAAGAACCTATGAAGAAACAGAGAGGGGAATGTACCAGCGAGGTAGAGGCAGAGGGAGAGAGAGAGTGAAGTGAAGAAGGCGGCGGCGAGGAAGAGAAATGAGGAAGTTAACGTTGTAGTAAATAAAACCTAAAGAGATCTACTTTTAGTTTTGTCTTATTACTGTGTATTCTCTTGTAAATTACACTATACTTGCCGCTTTTGCCGATGATTAATTTAGATAAACTTAATTATTAGTTAAACTTAATTATTAAAAATCTAGTTAAAGTTATTCTAATTAATGTTTAATTTTAATTGTAAATATTTATAATATTAATTAATTTAAAATTTAAATGATTCTTTTAAATGATTCTTATGGGTTGATACATAATGAGGTATGTGGTAGTTTCTTAAATTGTTATTTCGATGAATTTAGATACTGTCTCATGTTCATCGATGACAATATTGAATTGTCAATGCATAAAGTTCTTAGTTTATTCTTTGTATACCTCATAGCAACTTCATTTGTACCACCGACATCTATTATTTACCAATTAATGCATTACATGTTTCGTGGATCACTGTGTAAAAATATTGAAAAGCATGTTAATGGAGAACTGCTCTTTATATAAATGAGTGATGCATTGATGGTTGTTATTTCTTCACTTGAATTTGTTCAGAGGTTCATTTTTTTGTCCTATTGTATGTACTGTCAGGCCATCTTGATGGAGAAGGAACTGGTAGGTCAAAGCAAAGCAGAAGCGAAAAGAAGAGTCGCAAAGCTATGTTGAAGCTCGGGATGAAACCAATTCCAGGTGTTAGCCGAGTCACCGTCAAGAAGAGCAAAAATGTCAGCCCCCTTTCCATATTGTTAAACCATTCATTACTTCCCTGCCTCGTATGTTACTAGATGTAGATGATAACTGATTTTACCGTTGAATTCAGATCTTATTTATCATTTCAAAGCCGGACGTCTTCAAGAGCCCCACGTCAGATACCTATGTTATATTTGGAGAGGCTAAGATTGAGGACTTGAGCTCACAATTGCAGACTCAGGCTGCCGAGCAATTTAAGGCTCCTGATCTTAGCCACGTGGTGTCTAAACCTGAGTCGTCATCAGCCTTGGCTCAGGAAGACGAAGAAGTTGATGAAACGGGAGTTGAGCCAAAGGACATTGAGTTGGTGATGACACAAGCGGGAGCCTCCAGGTCGAAGGCTGTCAAGGCACTCAAGGCTGCCGATGGGGATATCGTTTCAGCTATAATGGAGCTGACTACGTAAGAATGGTGTTTGCTAGTGATATGTGATGGATTTTAGAGTTGTTGCTTTAGGTTGGATATCTTATTTTCTTTCCTTTTTTTTTTCAAAATTTTCCTTATTATTTTTCAAATGTTATATTTTCTTGTTATTTTTGACGTAAAAGCCATATGGGAGTGCATCTTTGATATCAAGTTATGGTTGGTTAGAAACCCTTTTCAGCTGCCCAGATTTTCTAAAGCTTTTGCCTTCCATATTTTCATCCTTGAAAACCTTTTCAGATTTAGATCTTAAAACGTGAATTTAAATTTTTGGGTAAACTACCCCAATAGTCATTGAACTATGGGGTCAATTTTACTTTGACCATTAAACTATTAAAATGTTATAAATCAAATTATTTAATAAAGCAAATTTGTACAATTATATTTGTATTTCTTATTATTTATATTTTATTAATTTAATTTTAATTTAATAAATTTAATCTACTAATCATGTTATACGTTGAAATGTGAAAATAGAAGAGGTGAATCATACCTAGAACATTAGGGAGAGTCCAAGGTAAAACGCCTAAAATAAGGAGCCATTGAATAAGATTTTCTCAAGGATAGAATAATAATTGTTTGATAAGAAAAAAGAAATTAAGAAAGATGAGGTTTTGGTTGTCAATTTAAAATAATACACAGTTTCAACGTATTCGATAAGAAGAATGGTTTAACTTAAAATGTTATCATTGTTTTTCAAATAAAAAAGATTTTAAACTCATGATAGCTTTTTAGGTTTAAACCTAAAATATAACTTAAACTTACGGATGAGCATGAGAACCGAACCCGACAGGTTTCGATTCGACCCGATCGAGTCGGATTCTTTTAAAAAAAATCGGGTTCGGGTTCAGGTCGGATTCGGTTTAGGGTGAAAAATATCTGACCCAACCCAAAAAAGTATAATTTTACCTTATATATATTTAAGAATAATTACAATAATATCCCTTTATATTTTTTCAATTAAGTCACCGTTTTTATTGAATAAAAATAATATTCTTTTATTATTTCGGGTCGGGTTCAGATTTTATCTTAAAAAATCGGATCGAGTTCGAGTCGGGTGGAGGGTATAAATTTTTTGAGTCGGGTCGGGTAAAGGATATAAAAGTTTTGGGTCGGGTCGGGTTGGCCGAAACCCGATCCAAACCCTACCCATTCCCATCCCTACTTAAACTACATGATTTATTATAAACATCGTAACATTTTAGGTTATAACTTAAAATGTTATCTATTATAATCGAAAATTTTACTTGTGGAAAACGATTATAATCTAAATGTTACATTTGTTTTTCAAATGAAAAAAAATCCATAAATTTATCATAATATTTTACATATTCGTTAAGTGACCGATTTGTTATAAAACGATAACATTGTTGATGATTTTATTATTTTTTTAAACGTAGCGCTGAAAGACGAAACATATTTGATGAGTGTTCAGAATCGTTAATATTTGCTCGTTATTTCTTCGATATTGTGGATTTATTGCTACTGATTTGGTTGTGTTATGCTTATTTTCATACAGAGTCTTACTTTCCAGAATTAGTGATAAAACAGGCGCATTTTGCATTTTTTTATTATTATTTGATCACGGCTGGAGACATGTGCACGACTCTGGGCACGACACGGACTGACGTGCCTGTTTCTAGAAGGTCTAGTCAGCGGTGGTTTCTAGAAGATCTACTCAACGCGCCTTCTGGAAGATGGACGAGAAGAGTTGCATTAGGTGTAACCCTCTCAAACCGATGCGGTTAACCCGATCCGATCTGGAGTGTCACATTAGGGCCACTGGAGTGACCCACTGTAAAAATAGCGGAAAATTTAAAACTTTTATTAAAACATGTAACTTATAAATTGCTTTATCAGCATTTAGAAATAAAACAGATTTTCAGACTCGTATATAAAACAAAATACAATTACATGCCCCCTAATCATATGTACCATACTCTGCAAGCAACACCGGAAGAACTCCCTTACTGATGTCGATAGATGCGTTGGTACAATTATTTTAACCTACAACGGTGAGTAATAGAGTGAGCTTCGGAAAGCTCAGTAATACAAAACTACCAATTGATGCTACAGGACATGCAGATAACTGAAAAGTCATATAATTTCCTTATTGAATCAGAAGTATACTAGTTTGCGGAATAATCCGAGATTCCATTAGTAGTTCATCGAGTAGAAACTATAAAGATCTCAGTTCATAAGAAGCATTCATGGTATGACGTTTTCAGGAGATCGAATAGGATGTCTAGTGTGTTCCAACAGTACAATAAAATCATAATAGGTACACTTATCAAATGATAGTTCATTAAATCTCATAAAATCATAATGAAGTTTAACTTTTGAAACTCGTAGTTTAAACCATTCTCTTGTTCACCATCCGCAGTTCCTAGAACTGCGTCCATAGGGCTTACCTTAAGCACACAACAAAAAGGAAGCCAACCTAATGATAGGCTTTGGGCCTGTATCCTTAAGTCTGTAAGTCTGTAGGGCTTACCCTAAGCACACAGCAAAGGGAGCCAACCTAATGGAGCATCTTGGGGTCCGTGAACCTACCCAAGAGTCACATTAGGTCCGTAAGGTTTACCAGCTTGATCAGAGCTATACTTCGTAATTCAATCCAACCAAAATCGGTATTTCAAAATACAATTTATGCAGTAAGCATAATTTCCATAAATCTATAATCATCGTTATCATATATAAGTGAAAATCAATAATCATATATCAGTCATAGTCCATAAACCATCACTGGTAAGTCGGTGTATCAATAAACAGTAAATCATAGATTTCAATGTACCATATTTCAAAACAGATAAAACAATTATGTAGTACATAGGGAACACACTAGAGGATCCAAATATTTTCAGAGGCCATTGTAGTTATTAGTATGGAAAACACGAAACTTATGAAATTTGATCGGATTCCAGGAACGAGGTCATATTGAAGAGAATCGATTAATAACCAAACTAATCAGACATTTAAGATTGATACTTTCGAATCCCGCTATGATTCATATATCTCAGGAAAGTATTCAAGTATAACCAGAGTAATTTGAGTTGATAAAGTAGAAACGAAGATTCAGGGCATTTACCATCCATGTCAATCGATCGGACTATCAACAACTCCTAAAAATGATGTATTTCAACTGGTCAATTCATTGCCCTTCTAGGGTATTCACACTTTAATACCAACAATTCTTGTTTATAGATCATATTCAGAATCATCGTTGAATATATCTAAAGGAAGCAATAGAGGATCCAAATAATCTTTATTTCTATCCACATGGCAACAATATCACGAATTGTCAACGTATTTAATTCTTGGTTCATAACCCATAGTAATCATACATCATGCAATATCATTGGAGTTCTCAGACTCATTCAATCATTTACTAAATTCTTAGTCATTAAAGTTACTCGGTTCATTTAGTAGTCAAATCAAAATCCCAGTTACTTCAGAGTCTTTCCGAGTAATTCAGATGCTTCTGCGTTTCGGATACATGTTGTACTTCCGTTTAGTTCACTTTGTTCATTTACTAAAATCATTATTTCGTGTTTATGGTTAATTTATCTCACGAATATCCACTTCTTAATATCAAATGCGCTCTAGCGTTGAGCTGAGCTGAGTAATTCCATAATTATCATCAATCCAAACTTGAGGAGACGAACTAGCATTCAAGTGGTACCTATGCCATTCAAGTACTGATATAACACTAGCATTGTTTGACCCACTTAAATTGTGTTTCATAACATTTAAGAGCAGTACAACATCCATGTTTATTTGAATTTCTTAATTAATCCAAGACATTTACTTAGTATAGACCATAAGGGCATTTTGGTCATTTTCGTGCTTAATGTTTTTCCATTCATTTCAAAGCTTGAGGATATCTATTCATTCCTGAACTTGATGATATTCTTGAGTCATTTCTATTACAAGGGTATTTTGATCATTTTACAGATCCCACGTATTTTAATCAGTTCATTCCGTCCGATCTTATTATTTAATTCAAACTTATCATCTGTTCCATTCTAGACGAACAATTCTGACAGAAGAGCATCCTCGATAATTTTTTCTTCAGGTATTTACTCATAACTCAAAAATTTTGAGTTAAATACATTCTCAGGTGTTACTAACGAATTATCAGAAATTTTCCATACAAAAATAGGATCTCAACAAGTAAATCAGAAATTTATCGAGTTAAAAATGAATCCTCAAAGTACTTTCTCATTCATGGTCAACACGGACTATTTTTATCACTCAAGGGCATTTTCGTAATTTCTTAACCAGATAATTTCGGTATTAACTCATAACGAAAATAACTATAATTTAGAGATCCTATGGTTAATTGCTTTCCCGAACATTCTTTGATCTTGAAATGATTCCTTAACAGACTTCTAGTATCTTGCATAAACCCTTTTGGGGTTAAAACCGGTTATCCAAATTTCCTAAGTAAAACTAGCATTTCTTATGCACATCAGTAGTTTCATCATATCAAAATCTTTTAGAGATATCAATCAACTTCCAAGGACAATTCTTGTCATTTTTCAACATAAGGGTATTTTCGTAATTTTACCCTACCAGAGTATTCTCATAATTTCTCATCCAAGTACTTTTAACATTTAACCTTTGATGAAATAAATTATATGCTACAAATCCAGGCTAATTCTTTTATCACTAATCACAGAACTCGTAATTTAGTTCTAACAATCCCTCAATTTCTTATATCAGTCATCCGAGCCGTATTCAGTTGCCGAATTTTTACCGCCTTAATATCGTGTGTATGAATTAATTAAATACTCAAATGAGACCAAACATATTCATTCATGCATTTACCAATACCAACATGTTCCATAAAGCATAAAAAGGTAGTAATGTATTACCTCGATTTTCGTGTCATATTGCTCGACCATTTAAATTAAATTTGAACACCCTCGATCTTGAAATCAACTTCCAATAATTCCTCAGATACATATTAACAGAAATTTTATCAAAACGGAGCTTAATTC